GTTGTTTAACGCTGGAGTTCCAAAATAATTGCAACTTGGTCCTATAACAAACCAATTGAAGTCAAAAGCGAAAAGTCTAAGAAATTCTCCAATTGCAGAAAAATTATGGTGATAACGTGCAAGAAACCGAAACTATGAAATGTGTACAGGTAAAGGAGGGAACACAATCCGAGATGGCCGGAAAAAGACCGAAGTCGGAAGGAATGTTACATTCAATTTCAAGTAGACATATACACGTGTTTCATTCGATAAATTGTTGGTATGGTGTATTAAAATTGATGATTGAATATATTGAAATATTTGTTCTTTCAACAGATTTATATAAAAAAAAAATTTCTACATACACTTTGATTTACTTTGTTACCAAAAAAAAACCCAATGAATTTGTCCCACCCTCCTCACGTTCTACATTAATTTTGATTTGTTTTGTTGGCACCTATTTTTGTCATCCCTATGAATGAAAATGTATTTGACCCCGCTCCACCCCCTCCCGAAAAAAAAAATAAAATCATTTGTTCATGTCTCAAAAGACAAACTTGGATGACACATATTCTTATAAGAAATGCATGAGTATATTTTAATTGAAAGTGTCATCCTGTAGAACATTATTCATCTATCGCAAACAAACCTATTGTTATATTTACAATAGGCTTTAATTAGAACAGGGGTGATCTGGCTGGGGTGATCCGTAATAGTTATACACCGAGGGATAGGTGTGTCTGGATAAGAAACCCCGTCGGCCGGAGGCCGGAGGGGTTTCTTATCCAGACACATCGTATCCCGAGGTGTATAACTAACTTAGTGTGTCTGGATAAGAAACCCCGTCGGCCGGAGGCCGGAGGGGTTTCTTATCCAGACACACCATATCCCGAGGTGTATAACTAACTTACACCCCATTTTAAATCTTATATTTGTTAACATTGATTATTAAATGAAAAACAAAACCAATAGCATATTTATTGACAATATCATACCATGATTTAAACTATTTTTTGTTATTACATGAAACCCCACTAGTAACCTTTCTTTGGTTATCTTCGTTCAATTTTGACAAGTGAGTATATTTTACAAATGTCAAAGTTGTTTTGCATATTCCCGTTAAATCCATGTGCTAATATGGATCAGCGGGTCAAGGTTGACCGTTTCGTGTATTCTTATCACAAACAAAAAATACGTCATGCTCCTTGTATGCAGTTGGCAATATGGACGGGTATAAGACGGACGACATTTCGTGGCAAGCGTTTGATTTATTTTGGTAGAAGAGACTAAAGATATTATAACCCAAAGTACCTACCTGTATCAGTGTAATAAAGGTAATTTTTAATGTATTTTATATCTTACGGTTTTATATAAAAAAAGCCCCCCCCCCGCATTCTGCTCTAGAATAAACAAACATTCATATTCGGTCATACTAAGGGATAGGTGTGTCTGCATTAGAAACCCGACTACCGGACACGTTCAAATTACAAAGATACAGATTTGATATTGAGGAACTCCCTTTTTGGGGGCAATCAGGGGCTGATCGCCGGGGTTCCCAAGTCAAGAGAAAAAGGGGGTGGTCCGACCATTCAAATGCATTGATCTTTTAAATAAAAGTCGGGTCCAACCGTTCAAGGACTGTAAAGCCAGTCAAGGTCGTTAACAACTTCCATCGTTCCGAGGAACCCCACCCCGGATCGGCCACTGGGTAACTTGGGGGGGGGGTCCAGGAGTTAGAATCACCGTTTTTTTTTTTTTTAAAGATCAATGCTTTAGAATAGAGACATATGACTGGGATAAAAAAAATACCTTCAAGCAAAGGAGTATTTAAAGGATTATTTTTGTATTCAAAATTGTTGCTTAATTTTTTTTTCTCGCTATTGGAATATCATGAAATGTGTTTTTTTAATATCTTGAAACAATTTGTGGTGAACACTATTAGTAATTTCTTATGTTCATGCTATTTAAAAAATAATCAATTTCTATTGTTACGAATAACAATGGACTTTGTTTGCGGGATGTAGAAGCAGGGGTTTCCAGAAACCCCGCTCGTCACACCCTGTGGTCAAAATTCATTGTTATTCGTAACAATAGATCTATTGAATTTACACTTGTTTCGGAAATAGAAACTGTGAAGTACAACAATAGAACTGGGGTGTAAGGCTCAGATCACCCCTGTTGGAACAAAGGAGCTGGGATGTACATAAAATATGTGATTTTGAGTCCGATCAGTGAACATAAATTTCACAGCTCATCTCCCTTTAATTATTGAAATTATGATTAATTAAAACGAATGGAATTTATTCTGCTGATAAACAATGTTTAAATGAAAACTAATATAGTAAATAAACATATTTTCCAAACGATGTAAGTAACTTCTGAAAAAACCTCAAGAAACATTATTTCAAGCTTAGTAACTACATTATAAACATAAGGAGATGTGGTATGGTAACCAATGAGATTAATATCCACCATATTTCAAACGAAGAGGATGTAAGTAATTATAGACCACCGTTTATAGTATAAACCTGTATAACTTTAGCTATCTAAAGTTCAGAGAGCCGTATAGTCAAATCTGATAATAATAAAGTTTTATTGCATTCTAAAATATGCAGAAGATTAGCTGAATTTAAACCTCTTCGCGATTAAAAATTTGTTAATAGAAGAAAAGTGGAACGTCTGTTTTAAATATCTACTCCAGATGTCATAGGGAAGTGTTTGCTACTTTGGATCCATAAATACGTGGTGTCTAGGTCCTTTAAAATGCAATTAGAGAAATAATTGGGGTTTTCCAGTTTACGTGAAGTCATTTCCAATGTCATATGATAACCTTCTAAAATATGGCTTGTCGATACTTTTGTATAAAATTAAAGATGATCTATTTCTATTTAAAGAATGTCACTTACGGTTTCAAAACAAAGCTGACCATACACGGATTTAAAGTATTGACAAACTAAAGTAGTTCTCTATCAAAAACCATTTTTTCAGGTTTCATCCCTTCTACATCTTTTTGTCAAATACCTGATCAATGCTCAAGCTCGAGGTTATTGATTAATCGTTTATATACAGATTTATTGGAAGTGTAGACTACGAGAATAATAACTAAAATAAGACGTCATCAGATTGCATCAATCAAAATGTACGAGTTCTTTTTTTTTTTTTTTTTTACATCAACGCAATTTTTCTTCATCTATCTTTTATCATGGAAGTAGTATTTCCTAAATATAATAAAAAAAAATAGGAAAAGTTTTCAATTTGAATTGACCCTCGAAGATGAAAATATGTTCCTAACTGTAAGAATCAAATGAAATTTGGTCATGATTCATAAACATATAAAACTCTGTTCCAAACCACTGGTTAACAGACTCCGTATTATTCCCCCTTTTTTTCCTAACCTATAAGTAATATTCATATTGTATCGGTCGTAATGTATGAGAAATAGATAAGTGTTGTGTATAATTCTCATTGAGCGACGACACTATTATGAAGTCAATATTCAAATGCAAATAAATGTGATTCATATAAACCATTCACAGGCGATGAAGCATGATATCATTAACTATACATTTATGGGAACCATAACTGCAGAACAACAAAATAATAACGTCTGCATGAAAGTGCTAAGCAGAAAAATGAAACTGGTTTATATTTGTTTCTCGTATTCTATTACTTTCCCTTAGTTTCAATTGCCTGAAAATAGTAGGTTAAACAGGAAGTATTCTGTTTAAAAACACAGAGGATTATTTTATAGATACCTGTATAAATTAATCTGCCAAAAAATAAACTTATAATACATAGATAAGGAAGTATTTTAACTTCTGAAATTTAAACCAACGGTCCTTTATGTATGAACAACAATGGTGAAAATAAATAGGATGATCATAATTTTATATTAGCAGAAAAAGATATTAATAACCTGTAATGCTTTTAGAAAACGGAACCGTTTTGCTATTTTCATTATACAAGTCTTACAAGATAGGAATAAAACAATGTAATATCACGATGTAGTTATCCTGGACAATATTTCGCTGCGAGTGTTATTAGATTCGGTATTGGTTACTGGTTATATTGTACAGAAATGGTCCTTTTTAATAAATTCTGAACAATTTAATTCTGCAAATTGTACAAACTTTGAGATTGTAACCCCCAAACACCCATCCAAAGTCTACTCTGGATGATTTTGGCTATGTTCTTTAGGTATCTTTATATAAAGATAGCCTAGAAAATCAACCTCACAATGTTAAGAGTAGATCGTATTCTTAACTTCCTCACCAACTCGTGCTGGAACCTACACCTTTTCCTCCAATCTCTACAGCAACGTCGCTTAAAATTGGGCAGCCGTCATATAAATATAGTTCCATATGTATTTATCCAACTTTGATGGTCCCAACTTCAGGCTCTGGGCACAAAAAGCTTTACGTATTACTTTGGTCAATATACATCTCAAAAATCATCATATATCATAGAAAAAGCAGCACCAATTATCAGAAAACTCAGTCTGATCTAACATATATCAAATTGTTATCGCAAAGTTTGAAGTATTGTATCGCATAGCCATATTATAATTGCAAATCTAACGCTTGTAAAATATATATAATGTAGTTTTTGCTGTAAGATTGTATAATTGACAAAAACACAACATTTTAGTTCTTTTCATAGAACACAGCAGAAAATAATTCAACTCTTATGGTGATACAAATAAAAGACAAACGCACAACAACTCAAAAGTTGAAGCTTCTTTTATATGTGACGTTGTTAAATGAAAATGAAAGAAGTTGAAGCTTCTTTTATATGTGACGTTGTTAAATGAAAATGAAAGAAGGAGATGTGGTATAATGAGTTTATTTTTATTTTCATCAAATAGTTGTACAGTAGTTAAAAAGTACTCAGAAATTTGGTTCACTAATTTTCTTACCGTTTAATTTTCCGCATTATAATTGGGATGTGTGGTGTTATTTCTCTCGCTAGACTGCAAATTGATACATCAAAAGATTAAATAATTATGACATTGTATTACTTACCTCGACAATCCACTGACAGTAGTCTGCAGCAGCATAGAAACAGCCAATAGGGAGAAAACTGTAAGCATGTTTATAGTTAGAAAGGCATCAAAAACACACAAATGAAACCTTTCAGTGCAATGTATATATAGGTGCTACCAGGAAGTTCTTGTGTATACTGTAGTAATTATATACGTGAAATAACTTGAATGGTTTCTTTGTGTTATTGCGAACAATACTGTTTATTTAAAAAAAACTAAAAATACTGTTTTGGGATTTAAACCCACGTGGTAAAAATATTTTGGGTCATTAACTTATACCCCATAACCTTCTTGTTTTTTTTATTTCTATTGAAATTGCAAGTTTTCGGTGATATAACCAAACATTGAAAATAATCAAATTAGATATGTTCATCTAATGTTTGTCCATTCAAAGTATTACAACTGTAATTTGTTCTCAAAAATTGATTCTTTGATACATATTTTCAATTATTTCCTGTCCATACATAGAGTTGTAAGTCCGTTGATATACATAAGTTTGTAGTAACAGTGTGATTAGAATAGTAAATAAAAAAATGCAACAAAATGTGTTCTTTTCTCATATTAATTCTAATATTTTAAATGTGCATTAGCTACGATTTAGACAAAAAATTTAAATACGATTCTTCGTCTGAGTATAAATACAGGGGAATCTTTAGAAGAAGCCATGTGATCATTATTACAATTCACACACTAGTGTAGCTCTTACAGTAATGACCCTCTTTATTACTGTAACATCGCAATTTTGCTCTGAATGTGTCGGTTCTGTGACCAAACTTTTCAAAGAAAGTGAAAGGAGATTGAATGATGATTAACACGAATGAGAAAAGCACCAACATGGATAGACTTTGAAATACTTGGAATAGTAACTTTTGAAAAATATGTTTTCAGTTGGATGATGCCACCACTTGAGATACTTTTGGTATTTTCTAATTTTTTAAAGATTAGCAGATTGCGTTTGTTTGGTACATACAATAAGTAAACAACAACTTCCTAATGTTGATATTTTTAAACAACTCGAGCACATTTCTTTTCTATTGTGAAGGGATTTGTTTTTGTTATTTATTTTTCATCAGTGAACTATATAGCGGAATGGTTTATTGCCAGTTTGTATTCATATATTTTGTGGCACGTTCTTCGTCGTCACTATAATCGTCCCACTGTCTTTTATCTTTCCATATCCCCAATAATTATTAAATGTGTCCATGGTGAAAAAAAGGTTCACTGCCTTTCTTCCAACCACATCGGATTGCCATCTACGGCGATGTCAGAGCACCAACGTGTATCCTAAATAGGTCCTTTCTCTATTCAACAGCGACAGCGATGTCTAACAGAAGCTAAATAGTTATAGGTCCAAGCTGACCATAACACCAGAGATACAAGCACAGTATGATCGCATTTAAAATTTTAATACTGAGACAGGCTTCTAGTCGGTGGTACCCAGCAAAGCAACTCTCCAAAACCACATCGACCCAATTGACACATGCTCCAACTCTTTCTACAGATTTAATCTGTGAAAAATTCTCATATAAACGTTTTTTTTGTAGATTAAAATACCATATGAAGAAGATGATAATGTTGAATATGTAGCGCTAGACGTGACCAACCCATAAATCGAACCTGGTCTATTCGACCTCCTGTCTTGTGTTCAGTCAGGATCAAAGCTGGAAAAGATAACATAAACTACAAAAACCAAAGAAACCCCTCATGGATCCGTCGTCGGATGATGCCACGACTACAGGTTCATTGAAGTCTGAGAAGAAGCTACAATTGTATTCCGTTTTTTCCATAATTTTGTGTACATTTAATAAGAAACCATTTCTTAATTTTGATATCTTTGTAACATCATACACTCTTGTATTGTTTTTTTCTTATCATAAAGGGATTGGGTTTTTTCATTGGTTCTGCATCACTGATTCTATATGACACATGAACGTATGCCAATTTGTATTCCAAATATTTGTTGTACGTCCCCGTGGTCATCAGAATCGTTTCACTGTCTGTTACCTTTTCTTACCTTTCAATCTTGAAAAAAGATTGTCCACTGCCTTGGAAATAAAGGATAAAAAAGTGGACACAACACCAGAGAGACAAGCACAGTCAAATCGCATATAGAATTTGAATACAGTGAAAGGTTTCATGCCGGGATTACCGAGCGAAACAACTTTTTCCTATTCCGTACATTTCCCCAAATACACAGTATGTACTAACATTGAAAGATAAAAACAAATCAATGTGTAAATATGATAAGAAATATTCATTATCGGGTCATTCAAATGACGATTTGGACGTTCTTCAATGAAAATGTACGTTCCGGAAACAAAAGGATTATACTCATCAGTGACGATGGAATAAAAAAATTTAAAAGGACTAAATAAAGTACGAAATTGAGGAGCATTGAGAACCCACAATTTCGAAAGGTTCTGCCAAATACATCTAAAGTAATCAATTCATGAGGTAGAAAATTCATAGTTTTTCGAAAAGTTCAAAGTTTTGTAAACAATTCATTTATAATTATGACCTTATCAATGAGAATTCAAGTCAACACAGAAGTGCTGACTACTGGGTTGGTGATACCCTTGGGAGGAAACCTCCACCAGCAATGATAATCACCCAGTGGTTGTAAAAAAACTCATCATGGATACCAGACTTAACATTAACATTAAGTACGCAGACACGCGTTTCGAAACACAAAAAGGACTGGTGTCATTCGTTAACTTCGGTACGTAAGAAAAGGATATTTTGCAAATATCGCTTTCAACAACTTGAATCTCTATAAACCTTTCAACTGCATATCAAAATACATATATCAAAACCAATAATATCAGCTTTGCTTGCATAACAAACCGGCAGCCATCAATGCGGATTTTTTTTAAAGGCGGCAATAACACGTCCCTTTTTGTTATACGAGTTACAATTTTTACAAAAAACAACAATTAAGAGCAAGAAAATTATATAAAAAATTAGCTCATATATGAAGCTATTTTTAGAAATAATTGAATGAGCAGACAAAAAAGAAATGCATGATAGTCAATTTAGACTAATACATTTGCATTTAAGTTTTTGATATAACGAAAAGTTACCGTTATTACGATACAGATGCAACTTGTTTGTATTCCTATGCTATTCAAATCTAGATTGCTGCTAAATATCCAGTTAATATCTTTATATTTGTAGTAGATTGAATTAATAAACCAATAGGCCAATTTTCATTTGTATTTCAGAAATTTATATATAAATAAAGATATTTTTGAAGGTCCATTGCTCAAGTTCAAACTTGTAAATGCCCTCCATGGGAAAGAGAGGCAAAAGATACCAAAGGGATATTCAAACTAATAAATCGAAAACAAACTGAAAATGTCATGGCAAAAAACGAAAAACGACGAAAAGACAAACTTCCAAATCAACAAAAAGATGTAATATCTCCGTAAAAACAATAATGCTGAAACAAATCCTCTTTTGATTCAGCAACATTGTGCTGAGATAAAATCCAGAAATACTATATTTTTTATTGATATGCCTACTAAACACTTATAATGAATAAAAGAAGCTAGTCACGACTGACATATTGACGGCTGTTCATTGAGTGATTGATTGGTAGTTGTATGACGCCGCCTTAGCACTAATAGGCTATATCGCGGCGAGAGCTAATTCATATATTTCTACAAAGGTAGTTTTTAAAATCAGACAAAAGGTTCTTCAATATACCAAAACACAAGTTTAAAGCATAGTTACTTATTTATAAATCAACATTTAAAACTAAGACTACGTGATGAAAATTAAAATCAGTTAAAACTGAAACAACATATATATATTTAAGAATATATTCAAATTTCTTTAAAAATGAAACAATTTGTGTTACTGGAATACAAATAAATCATATATATTATTGACATCAAAATCTTTCTTACGAATACCGGCAAAGTCAATACATTCAAATTACATGTTTAATAGTAAACTTGCAATCGCAAGGTATACATTGTGGTTGGACTTTATTTAAAAAAAAATAACATCGTTTTATTCTAGTATGACCGATACGGCATACAGAAATAACAAATTGATCTTTCCTGTATAAAACAAAGTATTAACATGTTTGCTTAAATATGGTTTTATTTCATGTAATCTGTTACCGTTCCTATCATTTCACGGATTTTTCCAAATATGATAAACATATTTTCTAATATTAGATCTTAAATCGGTATATGGTATTTAACATGTAGATATAGGGTAATTTTGGACATTTTTTGCTTCCTCATATACAAGTGTGATCAATAGATGCCAGTGTGATTTGGCACCCAAAAAAATTTCTCTATTAAAAAATGTATTCCTTACTACGTAAACATTTTTAGACCTAGCGGGTTTTTTAAATTTGATATTTTGTATAGCTTGAATCGGTATTCAGATGTGGTTTATATTTAAACTGCAAGAGCAGAATTATTGCCTTTTTTTTTAAAGTAAAGATGGATACAGAAAGATGTAAGTGGAGAGTTGAAGCTCGGTCTCTAAGGACTGCCACAGATGACATTCTGTCTCCATCCTTCGATCCATCAGTATAAACAGTTAAAGAGAGATTTTCAAAATAGTATTTGTATTAGCCCTATTGTATTTACAGAGATCGTGCATCATTTTTGGTTTGGGAAGTTTGTCTTTTCTTCGTTTTTCGCTTTTTTTTTACGCATGACATCGTCAGTTTGTTTTCAATTTATGAGTTTTTCAAAAATATCTTCATAAACGGGATTGAAAACACAGTTGTATGCAGGATTGTCTGGATATGCCTTTAGCTTGTCGGCATACTGAATACTGAATACTACGTGAAAGAAAAGGCTCGTCGGCTTTTACAAACAGAATCTCAACGTGAGAGGCATCAAGACATAGATGAAGACTTTGATTATGCACAGCATCGAGAATGTATGATTTCCTCGCGGAACCATAATCTAGTTATGAACGAATTTGTGCTCTATAAAAATTTTATAAAATGTCACGATCAGCACCCGAGTCAGTGCTTGCCCTAATTTTTTAAATGTCTAAAGCTTTTAGATATCTTGATTTTTTAAAAATTTTGATAGGGAGTGGAAAGTTAAATTTTCTATAAAAATTGGGTTTTATCAACCATTTTAATTTTGTTTCCATATAA